CACTCTGGAATCAGACACTAGGGATTTCAATCTCAGCATTGCCCATCACCAGCTTTGTGACCATAGGTAGGTTCTGCAACCTTTATAACAGGACAGATCTCAGAGGACTCTCATGAAAATTAAATGAGATAATACATTTAAAATGTACTTCCGCATTGCCTGGCACATAGTAAATGGTAGGTATTATTCTTACTGATTGGAAGTGTAATGGGAGTTCAGAGATGAGAAACAATGGTGCAGACTTAAGAAGAATTATTTTGAATTCACATAACCACTCACTCATTCTTCATATTAGGAAATTAGAACCCAGAGAGATTAAGTAGTCACAATTTCGTGGAGGGCATGATATTTGATTTGGATTTTGAGGGATAATAACAATAGTTTATAATTACTGAATGTTTACTGTGGGCTAGAGACCATTCTAAATATTTACATGGAATGTTTTATTGAATCTTCAAAACATTCCTGTGAGGTCGTATTTCGCATTTCGTTAGCTAGAAATATACTGTCCGTCAGGGAGAACTGAGAAAAAGGAATGAATAAAAATCTGGAGGCAGGAAAGACATGCTGATTTTTAAAGATGGTTATGAGACATACCAGCCAGAGTGAAGAGCTTGTCTTAGGCAATAATGAGAAACGATGTTGGACAGAGTTAGGCAAAGTTATGAGGCCTTAACAACCGTACGAAAAAAAAAAATTTTTTTTGGCTTTATCTAATGGGCAAAATAAAGAGCAGATATAAATAAGTGACTTGGGGAAGGGAGGATACCCACGGAATGGGGATTTAGGCACACTGGTTGGGTGGCATGAACTATGAAGCCCTGAAGGGCAGTTTGTCCTTCATATACCCAGGGAACCTCTACCAGCTACTATTAGTTATACTAGCCACTAAGAGAGTACCTGCAGATTCCTGTTAGGTAGGTGGTTAATAACGGTTTCTTGAAGGAATGAATGAATATAATTATGAATTCCCACTTTCCAGTTGGGAAGTGATGAGAGCTGGCACTATGGTTAAGGCAATGGGAATGGAAATAAGGAGACAAATCCTAGATACAGTTTCAAAGAATAAATAATAAGACTTGGGCACATATTGGACATGAACTAAAATTTAGAACCATACTTCAGGTTTATTATGTATAGCAAACTGCAGTGTTAGAGCAGTTGCATTTCACACATTCTTGGTTGTGTTTTCAGCAGAATTTCTGTATTTGGTGTAAATTGAAATGAAGCACATTTCAGCATGATGATATGAGTAATTATTATTACCATTAAAACTTCTATCTCTTTACTTTCTACTCCTACTCCCTCAACCCAAGAGCTTACCAGTTTTACCACACACCTGGTTTGTTTTTGGAGTCTTCTACTGAACTCTGGCCAAATAAACCTCACCTTCACACACTTGGCAGTTGCCTTCTCTCACTGGTTTGTTCATACAGTTGCTTTCTCCCATGAATACCTTTTCTTCTACCAGTTCATTGCCATTACCAACTGGAATATTAGTCATCTTTCAGAACCAAATCACATGCTATCTTTATCTTCTCCATGATGTCTGATCAGCCCAGGTGAAACTGACTTTTCCTTCTGAACTCCCATAGCAATGCACTTCACCATACTGCCTAGTACTCATCATTTGGTTTACTGGGTATCCCCTTATCAGAATCTTACTTGTATTCCCTACATTTAAGCCTGAACCTTTATTTCTGCACTCCTGGCCCTTAGGAGAGAGGAAACTGAATTGAGTATGAAGCTTGAGACTCCAGTCTTTGGGTCCTTGAAAACCCAGTAGGACCTGGGAGTCAGAAATCCAGGTCATTGAGCTGGATGGAGAGTTGCTGCAAAAAGAAAACGTCACTTAGCAGGCATATTATCTGCGAAAAGGCAAGCTTAATTTGTAAGCATATCTCTGAACCTGCCATGGAGGATGATTCTAGAATTTCTAGAGAACAAGGAACTGATTTGTACAGTATCCATAAGGGATGTAGAAAATGTTATCCATAAGCTGTTATTTTCATGAAGTTTAAAAATACATATATTTGTTTCCGTGGTGGTTCATTCATAACTTAAGATCCTATTTTGTTCTATAAAGTCTGTAAAGACTTTGTGCTATGAAGTCTTCTATAAAATCAATGGATTTCTACTTGTGGGATTTTCAGAAATCTAATATTGTAGGTTGCAGAGGACTACTAGGCTAATATTGAACCAGAACTCTTAAACTTGGCTAAATAGGTGTCTATTTCACAGTGTGGTTGGCAATTCTTGAGGCTCCCAGAATATGATACGGGCTCTCGTGGCTAATTCTTTGCACATGCTGCTTCTCTTGCCTAATATACTTCTCTTCATTTTTTTTTTTTTTGTTTTGTTTTTTTTTGGCAAGGTTAACTCATACTTATCCTACACAATTTTGACTCAGATATCATCTCCTCCAAAAAAACCTTCCCTGAATGCTTTCATTAGAGCCACTGCCTATGGATTGGGTGCCACTCCTGCCTGTTCCCACAATAGCCTGTGCTTTCATTATAACACTTACTTCAGGTGTGGCAGTTTTCATCTACAGGTCCGTCTGCTCGAGCTCTGAGATCTGCCAGTGATAAGTCATCAGCAGCATACTTAGAAGGCCACGAGGGCTCATAAATGTTTGCTCATTGAATAAATGCACAGTATTAGTATAGAAAATGTGGATGAAAGTCCCTCTGCCTCCCAGAGGTAAGTTGTCAGTATGAGAATTTTAGGGTAATTTTTGAGAACTGGAGTCTGTGTGTTCCTTTTCTTCTCCCCACCTGGTAGAGTGTAGCTAAACCAGCCTGGAAGATAGCAGTTTCCTATGTGCCTTAAGCAAGTTAACAGTTCCCATCCAACCCAGTATTTAAGAATTGTGATTATTTTTACTGTGTAGCCCCAGGGAGAAAAGCAGACTTATAAAACATTTTTCTATCTCAGTGAACGTTTGAAATTTTGCTGCCAAACCTACTAAACCCACCCTAACAGTCTTTCTGGTTTTCGTTTAATATGCCACCGGAAGGAGCTCTCTGGATACCTAGTTTCATGTATAATATAAACCAAAAATTAATATATCAGTTCTTCCCCTTTTTCTCTGTTTTAATTTGGCAGGAGCACTACAGGCTTTATATGATTCAATCTTATAAAGTTTTTCAGAGAACAAATGATAAGTGTGAACCCATGACTATGTCATAGAAGCAGCTTTTTCCTTCAGTGCAAACAAAATCATGAGCTACATATAATGAATTGGCTGTGCAATCCTGAAGTAGGTCGTTTAAAATTTTTTTTTCCCTTAAGGTCACAGTGCCCGATAAGAATTCCTTTTGCTTCAATTACAATAAAAGTGTGAATATGGGTACATAAAATGCAAGATTAAAAAAAGACCTATTTTGGAGCGGAGAAGGATGCGTACCGTTTATACTGAGTTCAGTGGATGGGAACTGACCAAAGATTTGCTGCGGAGCCTGTCAAATATTATAATCCAGAATTTCATTAGACGAAAAATAATCGCTGGTAAAAGTTCACCCAAAGTATTATTTTGCCCCTAATTTCGTTTGTATTTTTGTTTTAAAGACCTAAAAAGCCGCGATAACTAAGACATGCATTCACCCACTGAATTTGCCATCGGCGCTGCGCACCGTCTGGAGCGCCCCTCCTAACCCCCACCGAGGGCGGCTTTGGCCCCCCAGA